AGACTGTGTTCAAGGTCTGGATTGTGCAAGACATCAAATCCTGACAGAGGTGTGAAGGGAAGGGAAAAAGTGGACACGGTTGTTAATAATGAGTGAAGAAGAGATCTCCAGGGAGATTCTAGTTGAGGCAATGAAAAATTGATCTGTATTGAATGTCTCCAAGACGTTTTTTCTTTCTGCAGATATTATTTCAAGTGAAATGGCAGCTCTGCACACTCTTACCTTTTTTTTTTACGTTTTTCTGCTATGAAGTAGAACATGAAACCACAGTCATGTTCTCCTTGATTTGAATAATTACCAGGAGCGGGGAAAAAAGATCATAACTTTTTTGTACTGGTAGTTTTTGCGTTGCGTCATTATTGTCTGTATTTCTTATCTGACTTCTTGGAAAATTTTGTCTGACCTTGGAACTGTAGGAGAAGACCTGGTACTGTAGATTCTAAAACCAGTGAAGCTCATGTGATTGCTGTAGCTTCAGCGGCAGAGCTTCATCTTCATTGAACACCATTTATTCCCACTTTATTATTTTATTAGCATCGATGTTAAAAAACATGCAGACGTGTTCTGGGTCGAGCACAACGTGACCTCTGTGTCTGGGCCTGCCATCTCTTCACATCTGAAATCTTTGTGTATCGACTTCTACTCAGCACTCCTCGTGTAGTCTCTCTCACCACTGTCATCTGTGCTACAGTGAGCTTTGACAACGTGAGGTCAAAAGGTAATATTTCTGTCACACTTGTGCCATGTAACGTTTCTTTAACTGCATAACCATGAACCAAAGGCCGGAGCCTACGTGTAGGAGCAGAGAAATCCATGGAAATGGACGACACGGTGAACATGTGAGATGGCTACATTAATGATTATTTGTCATGTAAGACCAAAGCAGTTTGGTCAATTCTACCAGCAAATTGTCTTGTCACATGAGATGCTATTACTGAGATGAATAGAAAATACCAGGGTCCACATTAAATTATAAAGGATGGGAGTTTACATTTACATTCAAATGAGATGGTCACGCTCCAATTGGATGACATTTTGTCAGAATTATGTATCACAGGGACATGACAAAAGAATGTTGAGTTCATTGTTGCATATCTATACAGGAGCAGTTCAATTCTAAATAGCTGAAGATACATGACGTGATAAACATCTTGATACAACTGCTGTTTTAGTGCAGCTCTGGTGGTGGAGGTGGCAGCAACTGGATCTCCTTTGACGTAGATCCTTTCATACTTCATGGGGTGGGAGCTGTGGGGGGGGGTTCCTGGTCATATGAGAAATGTTGTCCTCCTACGAGTATTTTCTTGAATCCCAAGAATTTCCAGACTGCAGCCTCAGCAGCCTGTGACCAATCACAGAACAACCTGTCTGGAGGGGACAGGGAGAAAAGAAAATGAAAGCAGAAAGTACATCAGTGACCTTTGCAGACTCCTGGCTTGATAAATGTCAAAGGTTTTCTGTTTTTAATTTGTCAGAGTTTCCAGAGAAGCCTGACCTATGCCTACTCCCAGCCATGTTCCTCCCCATCACAGCAGGTCACTGAAGCGGCACCTCAAAAACCTATTACTGCCCACCTTTGCTGAGGCTGCTGCTGTCAAAGCTGCAAATTAGCCCATTTGCAACCTTTCATAATGCAACGTAGCAAAGAGCACAATGTTGTTTCTTTTTTCTTTGAAGTCATCCAGGCAGTGAGCAGTGGAGTACGACACAGTGGAGACAGGATAACATGTGCTCTGAACAGTCACGTATACTTTGCCCTAGAATTCTTTCAGTATTTTGTTTGGTGGTAGGAGACTGTTGTTAGTAAATCTTTATATATATATTTAGAGGGTCTTACATCTATGAGGTAAAACCCTCTAAAATATACGTTTTTCTAGATGGATGGATGGATGGATGGATCCAGCCTCCACGTCCTCATGATTTCAAGAGCTTGATTAAATGGATAGCCAGCAATCATAGAGAGGAAAAAAGGGGGAAAAAAGTCAATTTCCCATTAGACCTCAGCTTTTTTTTTTCTTTTTCTGCTTTTATCCATTATGGGTTTCCAGAAATGCATGCATGTATTCTGAGAATCTGCCTTTTTTTTTTATTTTTTACCATGAACAGTTCAATAAAGTTCTGCTGCAGCCATTAAACGATGCGTTGGCCGTCTGCTCTAGCTCCTCTCGAGCTATGTTTCAAAGGAGACGCAATCAATCGTCAAATCAATTGGCTGTGAGTCTGGACAACACTCAAACCTACACACTTGAACTTGAAATTATGAAAAAAAAATGCAGTGGTGTCTTTCAAATCGAAAGACAGCTAAATCGTTTCTTTCTTCCTTTCTGAAAAACCTGGAGAAATGACACACTGATCTTCGTACTTGAACTTCACCTCCTCCTCACCTCACTAAGCTGCTGGGTCTGCTGCTCTGGACTCCTTCCAAGGTGAGAGGGAAGGTCCAGATGCCTCCTGACGAGGGTCTTGTGTACGATGAGTTCAAAATCCTCTGCTTATGAAGAAATGAAACACAAGAGAACAAGAGAATAGACAGATGTTCTTTTGAGTCTCGCTCCGTCCATATCGATTTCTCAGTGTGTGTTGGTGATAGAAAAAATGAACAGTGAAAAATGGCATCACTAGGTTTTTTTTCCCCCATTATTTTTCTTTTTGGGCAGCACAGCTGCCGCATCAATAAATGAAAATTAAATACAAAGAGCACTGCTGTGCAATCATCTGTGAGGGCAAACTTGCAAGCAATTATTTTTAGGCTTATTGATTTTCACAGTGAGTGAGATGGATGGATTATCTTTTCATAATCATGTCGTGTCTTCTTTTCTGTCACCTGCCTCAGCCTATGCTGTTGTTGTAATCTGTCAGTGAGCGAATGAGAGATGAGTGATGCACACAGAAATGTGGACAGGCTAAATGGAACATGTCAGTGAATTATTATAGGATGAAATTACCTTGAATTACAGATACTGCTCAAATTGGTCCTGGATATTTTTTGGAATTTGCCCTTCACAAAGGAACAAGGCAGCAGAAAATGGATGTCAGTCCCGTTCACGACAGACAAATCCTGAAGGGCAGAGCATGACATGAACACAGAGGTTTCTGCTTTGTTTCTAAGAAACATATTCTAGCTAGTAGCTAGTTGCTTTTTTGAGCAGTAGTGCATCCAAAAAATATATATTTTTTATATATATACATTTTTATATACCCTTTTTGTTATTGCATTTACAAGACCTGGACTACAGGGGTCATCGTTATAACTAAAGGAGTGCTTTTTAGGAACATACCATTCAGTGGTTTTGCAGATGATAAAATGATGATTTACAGGATGTAATCATTACAAAAACTTAGGGAAAAAAGAGGTCTGTAATACCTGAAAGAATCAACAGGTGGTACTCTTTCCTCCCTATTTCCATAAACTCAAAGTTCATGGAAACCTAATTCCCAGATGTCATGGAGGAACTGTTTTTATTTAAAAGTCCATTTGAAACGACTGTATGGTTTGGTTGATGACAATGAACAACATCAACGTCGACATCAACAAGAAGTTTTATGTTTAATTTCCCGGGTCAGAACCAGGTCTGACTAGGAGAAAATATCTCTGTCTGTTAGCAGCACTGTGGTGTGTTCACGACAGGCTCCACTCTGTCTGCTGTATTATTCAGTTGTACAGGAAAGCAGAAGGCGACTCAATTCTTCATGACATATTAAAACCACATTTTTAAACATGACAACAACAACAACAACAACAACTCTCCGCTGAAGGACATTTGTCATCCATATATGTACAGGCCATTACTAATGTAGGGATGTGTGTTTTGACTTCCTGACCGACGGTAAACTTTGCCCCAAAGGAGCGTCACCCTGGTTCCATTATTTCTCTCCACACATTTCTCCTGCACTACCTTTATCTGGGTGAAGGCAGTAATTGTGAGCTGAGATGTGCAGGGCTGTTATGTCAGCACAAGCCTCCGATGTAAAACTTTGCAGAATATGTTCCTCTGAGACACAGATAGCAATCTATGTTTGTCTGGAGCCGCCGTAAATGTCCACAGCAGCTTTGAACTTCCTCTGTTTTTCTTTAATTTTTTTCTTTTCTTCCTGTAGAACCAGTAAAGACATTATTCATACTAATTAAACTTGTCTCTGAAGGACTAAAACCATGTGAAGTGCTGAGATTAATGGTCATGGAGCAGCGCTCTGCAGGGTCTCTTTGGAAACCCATTGCAACACTGGCAACCAGCAGCAGGACGGAGCAGAGCGACACCTCACAGTGCTGGAACAGAAACTCCCTGAGGGGAGAATTAAGGAGGTGGACATGATATGCAGGAGCTAAGCACCTCCACATTTTACTGTTACTGCCAAAATTGCCGTGCTCTGCAGACTTGCTCCATCTTGCCTGCATTCCACAGCAAACCCAGAGAAGTGGCTTGTGGAAAATTCCACCTTTGTGGCATTTAAAAAGGGAAGATTGGAATGATAAAGGGCGGGCTCCGGGAGTGCTGCTGCAGTGAAAGTTTGACACGAAGGCGCCAGTGTAGCTCTTGATTAAAGCTCTGTGTTGCGTCTGCCGGTCGAGTGATGGCCAGTTTCAGTGAAACGTGAAAATAATGTGTATTTTCTGCTTTGGGGAATTTATCATTCGACTCTGAAACTGCTCTCTTGAGAGCATCTGTGGATGAGGCCGAGCAGCAGTTAAATTGTTACACTGTCTTAGCACACAGACCAAAAACAGCAGGAAAAAATGCTGAGGTGGATTTTTACCTCGTAGACAAAGAGATCTTACATTGTTTTTTAGCCTTTACCGTATGTCGAGATTAACTATGAACTACTGACGAATGAATCACCATGGAGGGAGAGATGTGGTTTCTCTGACTGAGGGAAGAATAATCCAGCTGTTCCTGTGACTGTATATGACATTGTTCAAAGTCATTCCCAGGTGAACTCAGACTTTGATTTTTATATAAATATCTAAGCTACAATGCTAACAAACAAGCTTTACTTTTCAGTCATTTGGAGCCGGGGTCAAACCCAAAGCGGAGGACAGGGCACACCCTAGACCAGACCTGGGCAAACTACAGCCCGGTTTCCAAGTCCGGCTCACCAGACACTAGTATAAGGTATGGTTTAGACTGATGTCAGTCCTTCTGTTTCATACATTACAACAAATCAACTGTCATCTCTGTTGATGCTGTGGAAAATACACCAAGTTTTCTTCAAAAGTTTGGGTTTATTGTTGTACATAGGACAAGGATATTTTATGTACAGGTGTCACTGGTCTAGAGAACTGGTCCATGTTTGTCAGTGTTGTATGAATCACTGTTGAAATACTGCAGTACATCCAGAGTACTGGACTCTGGTCTGGACTTGCACATGTACCAACCCTTCAGCTGAGTTGTCGACCCACTCAGTTCTGCTGAATTTCCTTTCCACCCACATATTTTAAACTCACTGCCCTTACAGATGCAGTATGTGGCATTTAGTGACACCTGGTGGTGAATTTACGTAGTTGGATTAAATGTGCTGTTTGTCTCTTTTCGTAGTAATAAAAAGCAATGATAACGTAGCATATATTCAATAGACAGGCTAGAAATTGTATGATGTCAGCGTAGTTTTTACTTTCCGTTTCCTGATGTTTACTGTGAGTAAAGTCGATGCTGCATCGTTGTCAGACGTTCATAATGACTGCGTTCCCACGTCCGTCTGTTCTCAGCAGGCCCACCTTCCCTTCCTTCACTCCTTCTTCTTCCTTTAAAGCCTAAAACGCCATAAAGCAACCTTATCAATGTCTTTCAAGTCTCAGCACAGCTTTGCATATCTTACCTGTAATTGCAGCAGACTGCAGCCCTGGGGCCGCAGAGACCGTACCACACCCCGCACCCTCCCTCCCCCCACCACTGGGGTCCCTGTATTTACCCAATCACTGAGAACGGCTGTGATCTGCTGCGAACACTCCCTGCTGGACTAACTACTGGATCTTCAAGTGAAATCAGTTTGGTTCAGATCCAGTACACTAGCAGTTACATGATTACTCAAATTATTTTTGTAGCAAAATAAATCGTAATAATTTGAGAGTTTATAATTATATGAGGGTCTGTGGAGTTAGTGTGATATTAATAGTTGACTAAATCTTTTTTATTTCTTTTTTTACTTTAAAATTAAAAATATATATATTTTAATAACATTGCATTTACACAAGGCACTCCATACAGAGATTTTAATAAAATATAAAAATATATATAAATATATGTCGTGATCGAAAGAGTCTTAAAAACTGTCCATCAAAGCTATCCATCAAAATATTTAAGGTAAAGTGTTTTCAAATACTGATAAAACTATCAATTTATTTGCGTGTTTTTAATTTTCAACTCTTGGGTAAAAAAGTGAAATCTGTCTGGATTATTACTGAATGTAATCCCTGAAACCAGCGGTGACATGAGGCTACTGAACTTAATCTTTCTTTGTTGGAAAATAGCTTAGCATTACAGTGAATGAGCTGTTATGTTTGCTGAGACAGAACATGCCGAAGTATCACCTGTGTAAAGTCTCTTTCCACCTTTTCTTTTTTTTTCTTCCTTTGTGCAACACAGCATTCCATGCAGGTTGAAACACGGCAGTGTGTGCGCTCCCTGTCTGAAGGCAACACACAAACTGGGTGGGTTCGGGAAAATAGGTGACACACTCGCAACTTGCTCAAAGTTCAAAAGCACGGAACTAAAAAATAAGAATAAAAACATCTGAAACTACAGTCATTTGATTAATAATAAAAAAACTACACTTTGAAATGCAAAATCATCTACTGTACAAAATAAAAATGTTCTTTTTAATGATATTTTTCATTGTTTGCTTCGTTCAAACATGGAATGGTCAGTTTAAACGACTGTTCACCAGAGCAGGTGAGAAGTGAACGGTAAATGTTAGAGCGACTTGTTCGGTCTGTCATCACTATAAAATCACTGGCTTCTACTTGGTTCTCAGTAACTACGGTAACAATACAAAAATCCCCACAATGACGATTTAACAAGATAACATATACTTTATGTTTAATTTTAGATCAATTATTTTTCCCTGCTGCACTCAGTGACTTAATGCAGATTGTGACATCTGTGTAATTCGGGGGCTTTTTTGTAGGGGGAGGGGAGTGATGTGAAGAAAAAGGCTATATTAGGGTGTAGACCAGCTTCAAAGCAGAAAAGAGGGCGGGGCTTTAAAGCTGCTGCTGCTCTGCCATTGGCTGTGATGGGGGACAAAAATACCTGTACCTGCAGCAGGTAAACAGACTGACAACAGGCACAGGAAGGATGGACTACACTGGAGCAGTGAGGAGTCTGGGAGACTTTTGTATTTCCCTTCCATTTTTTTTCTTCACATTTTCATGTTTTTTTGTTGTTTGTTTTTTGTATCTGTTGCTTCAAATAGACTGCACATTTTACAATTTTAATAAGTTTGCTCCACAGCAGGTGAGTTGGTTAGAGGTTGCAAGTTCTTTTCTCTTTTTATTCTTTTTTTAAAGACTTAAAAGAAAGAAAAAGAAAACCGGTGATGTGAACTTTAGTCACTGTTAGCGTTTGTTTTTGAGGGTTTTTTATTTGCATGTTTTACAGCAGATTCAGGTTCAATAGATTAAAGAGAAGATGGGAAGAGCCGTAAACAGGTCCTGAGCAGGTACAGGCCTGTCTGGCACACCCTTCCAACACACACACGGAATGACACACAAAGACTCACACCAATAGAACCTGTCTATCATGTACTTGTTTTTTTTTTATTTAATCTGTCTTTTTCCCTGACAGAAAAAAACCACCCCTGAAAGTGTCGACCAGTCCATCGGCGTGATTCCACTCTGGAGAAACGACAGCCGTGGCCTCGTTACTCAGAACATCCATGTATTTTATCCTTCATTCCACCGGAGTCTGTGTTAAGAGCAAATCAGATTTCAGTGGTTTGAAGAGTAGGAAACATGGAATCATTCATCTGAAAAGGAGTGGAGGAAGGGGTTAATTATAATAACGGCATTACTTTGTACACATTTTTAAATTAAATGTGATATGTGGTCTGTGTGACCAATGATGTCAGCCTGGTGTTGAAGGCAACAGTTGCACACAAGCACAGACAGACACGACTTCTCCCTCTCTCACCTGCACTGCGACAGCAGATGCACTGATTGCACTTAAGCGTCACTGCAGGATCTGAGAGTGCTGCCAGGCCCACTTTATGTCTTTGGTACCGTCACTCACGGAGGTGTTTGTCCTGCCTTCACTCTGACTTCCTGCCCTTGATTCTACGGGAAAACGTCAATTACATAATTACTCCTGAAGTCCCATCTTTCCAAATCCACCTCAAACTGTGGTGGGCGTGGGCAGAGATGATTTGCATCTACGAGGTCTCTTCATCTTGTACTTCACACATACATATATGTACTCACACATTGTCAGCGTACTGAGTAATTATACACAGAATGACAAATATTGTCTGTGAGAAAATGAGCTTCACAGCTGACCTTTGACATTGGCCGTCACCTGAAAGTCTTAATTATATCCAAGCAGTCAGCTGTAAATCTGGTGTCAACTGCATTGAGCTCTACGTCACCCAGCTGTACTACCTAATTAAGGTAGAGGTAACATAAGGTATTAAAAAAAAAAAAAAAAACAACAGAATAAATCAGTGGCCAAGGAGCATAAATTTATACAGACAAGAATGAACTAACAGAGCTGTTTTGACAGGTTCCGTCTCACGTTCACATCATGAACTATGTTTTATAGTAGACGAGTTACTTCATGCAGTGTTAAAAAAACTGTAAATAAAAAGTTTTATTACAACTACGACCAAAGAACCATTGTTAAGAATTACATTACAACTACGACCAAAGAACCATTGTTTACATTGACGTGTGGAAGTACAAAACAAGTCAAAACACTATTTTAATAAGTTAGATCAGTGGTTCTCAAACCTTTTCTACTCTGTACCACCTGAGAAAACATTGAGCTCTCTGAGTACTATCATGATGACCATTAGAATCCCGCTGCTCGTTCCACGTTCAACTTGTAAGTGATCCCATGATTCCATGCTGCCTGTGCTTATGTGAGCAACAGACTTGCATTGCAGCAAAAAAAAAACAGGTAAATAAAGAAAAAGACTAGACATCCTAGCTCATAATCTCACAAGTAGCTACACATTTTTTCTAAATGTATTAATTGTCCATGGTATGTTTCAGATTTATTCAATTGAAAAGGTAAATGTGAAAATTTTCCCCACGTACCACTAGAGAGCGCTCAGTATACCACAGTTTCAGAACCACTGAGTTAGATCATAAAAACTGCTCAGATCAGGACAGAAAGTTAACCCGAGACAACCTTCCTCTCAGTACACGATCAGAGAACCTCCATGAGCGTCCAACTACCGCGATGACAAAAGAAATACATAACATTGACAGGATATTTTTTAATTGACCGACACATTTCTCCCCAGGCCTCTAGCAGACCTCACATGGTCGACAGACTTGTGGCTCTTTCTTGAACGTGCTTCTCCTGCACTGCGCACTTCAGTCTTTGGTTCACCTTCCTGTTAGAGGCAATGATGACCACGGGGCTGAGGGCGGCATACAGCGAGGAGAAGAAGATACGCAGGTCAGAGATCAGAGACGTGGTCATGGTTTTCTTCACTGTCAGAGTGTACACCCAAAGCCCGTTGTCTATCCCATAGAGGACCACATACAAGGTCACCAGCGCTACCACGGCTTTAGCAGCCCGCTGCTCTGCCCCGCTGCCTCCTCC